TATATTTCTAAATTGTCTGTACAAGAAGTTTTAATTTCTAACTTCTTTTGAAAGAAAAATTCACATCTCCCCTATAATGTTTGTATTCAGCTCTTCCTCCTATGCTACACTGGCTAGCTATCTGAGGGTTGCCTGGCATGCTAGTTTGAGAAATACAAGCTTTGACCTTGGCCATGCGCTGGCAGTTTACAAATCCATCCTCTTAATTACTTCCCAGGCACTCTATGGCCTACCTCTCATGCTGCTGCCGACAGTAAGGGCCAGAAGGGTTAACTCTCTTTACCATGGCCATGCAATTATACCTATAGCACTCACAGTCTCCCATGGAGGTTCTTACTTTGTCCCTTTGAAAAGCAGATGATGAGATTTGCATCTGTGACAAAGTTAGGGAAACACAGGCTGAGGCACCAGCAATCTTAGTGCCTTGTTTTCCTCTCGAATTGTCTTACTAATTTGAATGTAATTAAGACTGGTGACAGCTCATGACGATAACTCATCATATGGCAGGGTTAAATCACACTATGATTTCACACTATGTTCTACGTCTGAAGACATGGCTACGCAGCTTGACAAGGACAGAAAAATAAGCTTTAGCCACTCTGCCAAAAAAAAAAAAAAGTGCACACTGAAAGATGGTCCCAACCCTAGGGGTTTGCACAAATCATGGATTAGGAAAAAAATAACCAGTCTATAGGCTTTTCTATTTTCTACTCATGTAGGAGCAGACATAGTGGTATAAATCAGAAAACGATAATGAGAAGTGAAGGAAATTCTCATAAATCACGTTACTAAGTATAGTTACATCATAGATGTGGAACCCAATTAAACAGATGGCCACATGCTGTCAGAATTAGCCCCTAATCAATAAAGATGTTCATTTTAGAAAATCACCTCCATTTTTCACTTCTTCAGTGAAGCAAAAAGAAGGCCGTTGGGAGGGGCAGGGGAGTCCCAGGAAACCCAGCGGGGAAACGTGTAAGAAGTTCCACCTGTCTTAATTTGTAGTCCAGAAAATCAGAAAGGAAAGAGGGGGGAAAGCCATCCAAAGGATTCTTCGTCATCTTGCCTGGCAATGTAATTTCCAATGAGAGTGTGCACTGGTCATTAGGAAAATAGAAGCAGCTGGAATCTCTTAATTAAAATACTGCTTCAAATTGTTCATTTTAAAACCACTCTGCCCATGAGCTTTGTAGAACCCATTGGGTTACCCTGAAATGGCTACTTCCTCCAAAAGCTTCTGATAGGGTCAGCTCTTCTCAGGCAAGCAAAAGGCAGAGCAGGGGGGAACTCTGGAGGTAGAGCTATTATTAGACATGCTTAATTCCCCAAAGGAGCAGTGAGCCTTTAGTGACATTTGAATGAAACTGCAGAAACACCAGTGAAGAGACTATCTCATTGCTCTTTCTTGCATAAGAGCTGACCTATTACACTCACCAGACTCATGACAATTAACTCTGCAAATACCAAGAGCTGATGAAATTGAGGAACAAAAGAAACACTTCTGGAATTCAGAATGTTGGCTTTGAAAGGCATTTGGTGATATCTGGATACTCTACCACCAAGGAATTCTGCTCTTAAGAGTAGCACCCTACTTACTTCAGGAGACATGCTCAAGAATTTTCAGAGCAGCACCATTCCTAAGAATGATCATCTGCAAGAGTAGAGGATAGAGAACGCACTCAACAGCAGAACAGAGTAAAAAAATCTGAGGCTACAGTTGGACAATACTATACTATACAGCAGTGAAAATTAAAAAAAACTTACTGCAATATGCTCCATGGATAAATCTCCAGAATATGTTGATTGAAAAAAAATGTAGTTGCTGAAGATTGTGTATAGTATGATAAAATTTTTAATATTTTATTATTTTTATTTTATGCGTATGAGCTATTGTCTGCATGTATGTAAGCGCACTTGGGTCATGCAATGTCTACGATGACCAGAAGCTGGCATCGAATCCCCTAGAACTGGAGTTACTAATGGTCGTTAGCCACCACATATGTGCTGGGAATCAAACCGGGGTCCTCTGCAAGAGCAGCCAGTACTCTTAACTGTTGAGCCCTCTCCAGTCCAAGATGATAACATTTTATTATGCTAAAAAAATGTGTTATTTAGGGGTACCTACATAAATTATTAGCATTTTATTTTTAGAAAACTAAACATAGCCAGACATGGTGACACATGCCTTCAATTCCAGCACACAAGAAGCAGGGGCAGGCAGATTATCTGTGAGTTCGAGGCCAACCTGGCTGCATACTGAGTTCCAGGCCAGCCAGAGCTGCATAGTGAGACCCTGTCTCAAAACAAACAAACAGGAAAGAAAGCTAGACATAAAAATCAACACAGTAGTTACCTCTATGGTGAGGAAGAAAATCAGATGGGGAGGGAGATAGGCAACTCTGATGATGCTGGTAATGTTCCAGTTCTTTACTGTATGATGGCTTAATTGGCATATGTTGATTTTGCACTTTCTTACATACTTTCAACATAACATGTCCAGTATGCTACACAGTCTTTTGCATATATCAAGTATCATATAATAAAAAGGTTTTATTAAAATGAATAATATAGCCAGGTGTGGTAGCACATACCCTTAGTCCCAGCACTGGAGGCAGAGGCAGGCGGATCTCTGTGAGTTCAAGGCCAGCCTGATCTACATAGCGATTTCCAGGCTAGCTGGGGCTATAGGGAGACCCTGTCTCAAAAAAAAAAAAAAAAGAATACTATGGGCCAGCAATATGGCTCAGTGGGTAAAGGCACACACTATCAAGCTTGGTAACCTAAGTTTGATTCTCAAAATCCACATAGTGGAAGGAGAGAACTGACTCCGGAAAGCTGCCCATTGACTGCCATATATGGCATAAAAATGGTATTTACAAGGGGCTGGAGAGATGGCTCAGCGGTTAAGAGCACTGACTGCTCTTGCAGAGGACCCAGGTTCGATTCCCAGCATCCACATGGCAGCTACGAACCATCCTTAACTCCAGTTCCAGGGGAATCCGAAGCCCTCTTATGACTTCCGCAGCATTGCACGACACGGGTGCACTCATATACATGCAGGCAGTACACTCATACACATAAAAAATAAAAATAATAAAAATTTTTTAAAATGGTATTTACAAAAATAAAATGAATAATATAAGCAGAATTATATTGCTCAATAGAATATTCTATATATAATGTATTTAAATAAGTAGCATAAGATTAAATTATAATTAATATCTCAAATATCCTGTCTCCATGTAACATACACAGCTTAGTTCTCAACTTAGAACTTAGGACCTTAAGAAAGCAACAGTATTTTCAGCATAATTAAATATTTATATACCAAAATGTGACATTCAAAATATTTAACAACTTATTTGGTTACAGTAATTAATGTAGAAATCAAAAATTAGCACCATCTGCTTGTTTTCCCTCTGTTCCTTACTCTCAAGACCCAACCTGCAGACTTGTGCTTCCAAGAGTGGCCACAGGAGGGCGACTCTGGTAGTAAGCAGCCACAGTCTTCCAAAGGCCCTTTAATCCAGACAGTCCTGTAAGGTCAAGATGCAACTTGGGAGATTTATGGTACAAGGGGCAAGGGGCTGACAGGCCACAAGGGCAGACATCGTGCCTCACTTAAAAGGTATCCTTGAGATAATACTGAAAAGAAATGTGACGATGAATCATCCAGATCACTTGGGGAAATGTCCAAGCCACAAAGAACTACAAGAGTCAATGCCTCGAAGGAAGAGTTGTCCCCTATGCTCTAGGAAGAGACAGGAAGCCAATGTGCTGGACAGAGATGGATGTATAGTAAGTGTCAAAGGTAGAGAGATGAAAGGCATGGGGCCTGAGGATGTAGCTCACTTGGTAGAGTATGGCCTAGCATGCGTGAGGTCCAGGGTTCCATCCCTAGCACCTCACAAACTTCCTGTGATGGTACACACCTGTAATCTCAGCACTGGGGAGGTAGAGGGAGGAATATTAGAAGTTCAAGATCAATCCTCAGCTACATAAGGAGTTTGAGGCTTGCCGGGAATACATGAGACCCTGTCTCAAAAAAAAAATAAATAAAATAAAATAAAGATAGACTTCTACATCATTACAGGTAATTTGACCCTTAAGCAGAATAAGATAAGATATGGATAAAAGACTTTGAGCAAAGGGGTGATAAGATATAACCATAAACAGATCAGTCTGGAGGTAGTGAGGACAGAAGCAGGAAGGTCAGTAAGAAGGCTCTTCCTATAATGATCCAGCTAGGAGACTGTGGTCATAAGAGCAAGGAGAGTGAATCATAACTCCACCCCCTATGTTCAACAGGGTAGAAATGTGATTGAAAACCTGAGATTAAATGTCCTGACTCTAAGAGTGAGCCAAGATGAAGAACAGAGGCAAACAGAACAGGTCAGGACTAAGCCCTGGGGTATGCCATCGTAGAGGAGTAGAGACCACAAAGAAAACCAGAATAAGACTTTCTTCTCAGATGTCTCTAGGATGTGTCAAGTTGACAGTAAAAGTTAACCAGAACAGCACCTATAATGACATAAACTCCACACATAGAAATAAACATCCTAAAGGCATTCCATCCCAGAGTTAATTGGAATGCATTAAAGCTTCTTTCTTACATTAAAAAAATGTCCTCAGTTAACTGGCCTTTTCCCCCATCAAGGCAAGGATGATGTGGACAAAATCAGCAAGATGGTTATGGCAGGAAAATAGAGGTGTGTTCCTTTTCATGGAAAGCTTCATTGTGGTTTTATTTATTATAGTTTGAAAAAACAGCAGTGACATAACATCCTTCTTAAAAAGTAATAAAGAGGAAGTAGGTGAAAGACCTTTAAAATGAAAAGTTTAAACTATTGAAGAAAGAATTGGAAGAAGACACAAGGAGATGGAAAGACCCCCCAATGATCAAACATTGGAAAAATGAGTATTGTGAAATGGCCAACCTATCAAAAGCAATCCACAGGTTCAATGTAACCCCATCATGAAGACAACCAGCTGTTACTCACGTATCTGATTGGTGGACGCACTGTAGAAGGCATTGACAGTCGTTGGATTTGTAAACCACCTGCAGGAAAAAAGACAATTGCCACAGGGTGGCCATCATTATCCAGAGAGGAAGACAGTAACCGTAAAACAATGAGGCTGTTGACATAAGGTGAAACCATTGCCTCGTTAAGGGTTCCTACTCTGTTAATGAACAATCTTATCAGTAGTTGAACATTGTTGGCAAGAATATATTAACATGCCTGCCTATTCACTTCTACTAAATTAATAACAACACAAGTGCATCTGGAAAAGCTTTAATGAGAAGTCCTACAATCAAAGGGGCTCCTTCTGAAGATGGAAACACAGCAATAAGCTGGTGTTTGCCAGGTTCTAGTCAATGGATCCATAGGACAGCTACTTTCCTATCTTTCATCACCTCTGACCTGTCTATGAACCAATTTGGGATGGGTGATAACACAGGGACCCATTTAAAGAGAAAGAATAATGTACTCCCGTGAACTGATTGAAGTTGCAAAGGATTGAACTGTCTCTATAAACAGTTGGGTTGTGTTGCAGCAGTCCATAATGTTTCTGATGGGATGGCTCAGTGAGTAAAGCTCTTGTCACTCAAGCCTGACAACCAGAGTTCAGGCCTTGGAACCCACAGTGGAAGGAGAGAACCCACTCCTGAAAGTTGTCCTCTTCTACATGTGTACCATGGGATGCACATGCCTGCACTGATACGCACATGATACATTCAAATGCACATAAGGACAAATGATAATAAATTGGGGGCTGGACAGATTGCTCAGCAGTTAAGAGCACTGGCTGCTCTTGCAAAGGACACAGGTTCAATTCCCAGCACCCACATGACGGCTAACAACTGCCTTTAACTCCAGTTCCAGGGGATCCAATACCCTCTTCTGACCTCTGTGGATATGACAGACACAGGTGTACTTACATACCTGCAGGCAATACACTCAGGCACATAAAATAAAAATAATAAAGTATCTTTAAAAATTATAATAAATTAAAATGAAAGTATTGCACTAGGAAATATTGAGGTCCCTTACAGCTATAAACAGTCAATACCTTCATATTAAACACATTGTAGGTTACTTAGGTCAGGAAGTAGATTTTTTTTCTGTAAAAAAAAAAAATCAGAGTGTAGCTGGGCATGGTGGAACACACCTTTAGTCCCAGAACTTAGGAGGCAGAGGCAAGTGGATCTCTGTGAGCTCAAAGCCAGCCTGGTGTGCATAGCGAGTTCCAGTCCAGCTGGGGCTACAGGGAGACACTGTCTCACAAACAAAAAATTCAGAGTTTAAACATTTCTGACTTTATGGATAAAAAGGCAAAGCTGAAGGTATTATACAATTATTCAAAAGCATACTTTCCACAACTATTTATTGATGGAATTCAAATATAATAATCACTTAGTACAACTGTTATTTATGAAATGAAAATCATTTGGGAATGGGATATTATTTTTGTTTAACTGTGGTTCAAAATCATCCCTTCATATCATCAAACCAATTTCAAATCTTTAATCTCTAAAACAAATTCTCGGTTCATGGGCTGTGTGAAAATAGGCACCAGGCAGGATCTATCTCTGTCACGGCCTTTCATGATTAAAACCAATCAATTCCACTTAAGCTACTTTGCTCAAAATACACTAGCATAGGGCTGTGTGTATAGCTTAGTGGTATACTTAGTGGTATCTTACTATGCATGAGGCTCTGGATTCAACCCCAGCATGAAAAAAAAAATCTTATATAAATCCTTTTTCAAAACAATCATTATGGGCCAGTGAGATGGCTCAGTAGGTCATAGTGCCTGTTGCCAAGCCTGAAGATGTGACTTTGATCATCTGGACCCATGCCGTGAAAGGAGAGAATCAACTCCCACAAATTATCCTCTGAACTCCACATGCATGTATATAATACATACATACATACATACATACATACATACATCAGAGCTCATTCCCATGTACATGACATTTTTATAAACAGACATTTTATTGATCTATGCCTAATAGAAAAATGTCAGAGTAATAAATTGTCAGGCTAGTATGAAACTAGTAGGAATCCAACTATTGATTCGTATTGGTCCACTCATGCTTTCTCCCTACCTATGAAAGCTGTGAAAATGTCTATGGATATGTCATCCTAATATTAGCATGATTGCTAACAGTCACTGAGCACTTGCTATGTTCTAAGCACATTACCATTAGCCCACTGCTTAGATGAGAACAATGAAACTGAGAAGAATTACAAACTTGCATGTAGTCTTGTTTGTCTGACTTCAAAGTAGTTCATTTAGGCCCCAGTGTTTAACAAAATTGTTACACACTGGCCAACTTTCCTGAGGACACAACCGGAGGAGAAAACGTCTTTATTGACTACCCCCCCCAACTTGCTATTTACAGTAGGGAGAATTCTTGTCACTTCCTAATCTCTGGGATTCTGCCACTATACAGCAAAAAGAACTTTGCACGTGTAATTAAGGTTAAGGATCTGAAAATAGGGAGCTTATACTGGATTATCCAGGTAGGCTGATCTAATCATGTGAGCCCTTAAGAGCAAGCAACAATTTTTGGCTGGAGTCAGACAGATGGAGGTCAGAAAAGATATGTGCAGATGGGAAGTAAGGCAGATTGGAAGAGCGAGGAGTATTTCACACACTCTTGCTGGCTCTTTGATGTAGAGACCTGATTCAGTCCTACAACTACAGGAAGTGGATTTGACATAATACACACATGGGATAATGCATGTTCCTAGAGACTGTCCCTTCCCATCACTCTTCATTCTCCTCCTGCTCATAAAAAGCAGTCTTTCAAAACATTAGAATAAGAACCCTTTATTGAATGTGTTCCTAACTGCTGATAGACAAAGGGGCATAAAACAAAGAAACAACCAATGGCTGAGGCTCATCCCAGTGAGACTTCTAAAGCCTCAGCAAGTGTTAATAAAACATCCTACCTCACACATATGACCTTCTCATTCCTGACCCCTGTCCAACCACTAGAGTTGCTGTTGATTATTGGGCCCACTTGGAGCCTTCATTGTCCTCAGAGCTGATGTTAAGCAGCTGTATCAGAGGGTTCTATTAGTTGTTGGTGATATTATTTCTTCTGTTTGTTCAGGGCCAGTGCCAATCCAGCTGTTAAACATTTTGTACATCTCTTTTATAACATCCAAGTTTATTATATATTTAGTTTTACTATCCTCTGATGCAAACTTAACTATAATAGTTTCAATATCTGTTTACAAAATATTTTATACTCTTCCCATTAAGATATAGAGTCTAAATTTCCTCTCCTTTTCGTTATTAGTATTACCTACTTTCTTCTAAAAAATAAGATGAGATGGGACTGGGGATGTAGCTTAGTTAGTAGAGGGCTTCCTGAGCAAGCCTAGTAATTAAGTCAGTTTATGTGGTACTGGAGATGGAAACCAGTACTGCATAAACGGAGCCAAGGTGGCGCACACCTGTAATCTTAGCACTCAGAAAATAGAGGCAGGACAATAATCCTCAGTTACATAGCAAGTTTGGGGTCAGTCTGAGACACATAAAACCATGCCTCAAACAAAAACAAAACAGTGAGATACAATAGAAATGGCACTTTATGTCTTCCAAGAGCAATACATCTTCCCCGGGTGTACAGTAGAATGCCCTCCCTCATTTCCCCCCTTCATCTCTCTCAAGAAACCTGCTCTTCAGCTTTCTTCATAAATCAACATTCTGCTAAGAAGCCTAATGGAAAGATACATAGGTGTTCTTGCCAGTAAGCATCAATTAGGAGGCATGTAAGAGATGGAGGCCAGCCACTATCCGAATGTAAATATGAAGAGGATCAAGAGCAAGAACAATACAGCTGAGTCTAGTGTGAGCCCTCCTGTCCCCGCCAACCTCAAGATGCAAAAAATAAATGATTACTATTGCTTTGGCCATCTAGGTTTGGGGAGGCTTTGTTATGCGACAATAGATAAGTAAAATGTGGAAAAGTTGGGTCGCCACACATCAAGTCCAACCTAATAGGCTGAATTTTCCCAGAAAGATGTTTATTTCCATGATATAATGGATTTTTAAAATTATTGAATTCGAATTATTTTGTAATAATTTGAATATTTTTTTGGAAATTTTTAATGTATTTTTGTTTTATGTGTATGAATGTATTACCTGCATGTATGTAGTCCCTGCAGAGGACAGAAGAGGGTGTCAGATCCCCTGGAACTGGAGTTATGGACAGTTGTTAGCCACCATGTGGGTGTTGGGGATCGAACCTGGGTCCTCTGCAAGAGCATTCAATGCTCTTAATTACTAAGCCATCCAGCCCCTAAATTTGAATTCTTTAAATTGAGGGTGTAATCCCTAGTTCTCTTAATTGCTTACACTTGTCAAAGTTGGACATTTCTTAACTGATGGGGTCCTGAAGACATTTGAGTTTGTAGAATTTATCTCCTAGGAAGATTTTTAAGTTCTTTATGAGCTAAGACTGTTGTTTAAATGGTATGTCCTAAGTAGAAAAAAACTAAATCTATTTAAATGAATTTATTGTTAAATATACAACTACTATAATAAAGAAAAGTATCATTCAGATACTTTGGATTCTTCTTATCACATTTTTGGGGTGTTCCTGCCATCTGTGCTTGTGGAAGAATGTAATGGATAAGGGAGAGGAGAGAAGTGTAATATCAACTTCAAATCTCAAAATATATGCAATGAAATTACAGCAAAGATACAAAAAAGGAATGTAATATCAAATGCAATAATATGAAAGAAACATTGATACTTTCATTTCATTTGACCACCTAAAATAGATATAAATCAAGCTAAAGCTTCACATTTTACTTATCAACTCTTAAAGGTAGTCCAGGTAATATGTAATGGAAAAAGCATCAACTATCTATTACTTTCTTACCAATGTCCTGCAGATTATATCACTTACAGTCCATACTATACACAATGCTTTTGCAAACAAAAATGCAGGGTAAGATTGTTTAATGTGTTTTTTTGCATATTATCAGGAGATAGAAAAAGAGAATCCAGACATGTTTTGTCACAGTAGAATGAGAATGAGTTAATAGGGAAGCTGGCTTAAAATCATTTCTGCCAAAGAGGCTCCTGAAGGAAAGAAATTACTTTTGACTCAAGCCAAGCAGTAAAGAAAAGCCGCTATTTTTTAAGCAAACTGATGAAGTGACAATTCTGAGAACCGATCCCTAAATATATACCTTCAGGGATGACCACCCAATTAATGTAATTCTTGCTGACATTTCCCATTGTCTTGGCAACTTCTTAATGCATATTAGTGCAGCTAAAATGGATTTCATAAGAAGAAAGATGATAAAGAGTATTTATCTCTCAGCCCCACAAAAAAAGCAAAATGTTAATTCAGGGCTTTTTTGGAAATACAATCACGATGTGCTGTTGAAAGTAAACTAGTATAGAGGCACTACTCCAAAATCTTCCCCACTTGATTAACTCGTGAATTTTCATAAAATATGTTAATTAAAGCCCATGGGTTTTATGAAGCTAAAATTCCCTACAATGCCCAAAATGGAACACACAGACATATCTTTTAAAAAATAAATTGACAGGCACGTACATCACTTTACCATGGAAACAAAACCTTGAATTTTTAAATACTTTTCTCTGAAATAGACATAGAGTCTGAGGAAGCAAGAATTACAAGTATTACACTGATATTCATTCTTGAAGAACATTTCCCAAACATTAATTTAATACTTTTGTGAAAGACGTACATACCATGTATCTACAGGTTAGAAAAAAATGCATCTATATTCAGCATACTTTTCTTCTTGTTATTCTTTTCTTATTATTCCCTATATAATATAGTGTAGCAACTGTTTACATAACATTTACATTGTACTAGGTATTATAAACAAGGTGATTCAACTTGCACAGGAAGATATACATATGTTATATGCAAATACCGTGCCATTTTGTATAAGGCATTTGAACATCCTAAGATTTTTGATACCTTCCAGATGTCCTACAATCAATCCCTCATGTACACGGAGGAATACCTGATATTTGTTTTCCATTGACAGAGGAAAATCCTACAAAAATCCAACAAAGCTACCCAGAATTTTTAAAGCATGAAGAAAATATTAATAAAGACCATCAGAATTTCAAAGTCCATCTACATTTTAGGATAATGTCAAAGATGGCCCATTTATGAATTTTTCCATTGATAAACTAGGCCCTTTTACATGACCAAATCAATAGCAACATTTGGAAATTGAAGAGTTAAATAGGCAGCATCTCTAATGTAGAACATCTTTTCAAATATTTTATTATTTTTTTATTTTATGTGTATGAATGCATTGCCTTCATATGTGTAAGTGCACTCATGTCATGCAATGCCCACAGAAGTTAGAAGAGGGTGTTGAATTCCCCTGGAACTGGAGTTTCTCAGACAGTTGTTAGCTACCATGTGGGTGCTGGGAATCGAACCTGGGTCCTCTGCAAGAGCAGCCAATGCTCTTAACAGCTGAGTCATCTCTCTAGCCCCCATAGAAGAACATCTTTGTAAGCCATAGAACTCCACAGAAACACTGGAAAAAGCCTTGAAATTTTTTTTAAAGGATGTTATTTATTTTTATTTTATATGTATAAGTCTTTTGCCTGTATGTATGTATATATGTATGTCTGTATGTATGTGCCACATGTGTACCTAATGCCCGTGGAGATCAGAAGAGGACATTGGGTTCTCTGGAACTGGAGTTAGTAATGGTTGTTAATTGCTCTTTGGGTGCTGGGAACTAAACCCAGGTCCTCTGCAAAAGCAGCCAGTGCTCTTAAGCACGGAGGCATCTCTCTAGCCCTAAGACTTGAACTTTTTACAAAACAAGAGTTTGAATTGGGCTAGGATGATGGCTCAGTCAGTAAAGTACCTAACACACAAGCATGAGAACCCACTCCCAGCACGCACATAAAAAGCCAGGCTTGATGTCATGCACTTGTAATCCCAGTATTGAGGGGCAGAACAGAATGATACCTGGCACTTGCTGGCCAATGAATCTAGCCAAATCAGTGAGCCCCAGATTCAGTGAAAGACTCTGTCTCAAAATATAAGGTAGAAAGTGATAGAGGAAGACACCCAACATCCATCTGTGCCCCCCTCCAACACACACTTGCCTACACATACATGTGAATGTAGTACACCACACACATACACACAAAAAACAGTAATTTTTAAAAGCTTGAAATGATTTGAGTTAGTTCTTAAAGTGAAAGGTGGTTTGCATAGATCTGTTACTATCCTATTGTATGTTAGATGGTCCTAGAGATATTGAAAATCATCGACTGAAGTCATCAGATTTGAAGCATGAGGCTTTACAGCCCTAAATCTACAAGTCCTCTGAATAATTTAGATTGAGAATGGACTGAGATAGACAGACTGAGAAATAATATGATAAGAGAGGAGAACCAAGGACAGTGAAGCAGATGGCTTTAGACCATTATCTGTTATTACCAAGACGCTCTAAAGCCATCTGCTTTATTCCTGTGTACTTTCTGCTGGAGTCCAGGATAGGTAGGAGACTGACTCAGCTTTAGGCTTATTCCCTAAAATCAAAGGCTTACAAATAATTTTGGAGGTAGGCGTTGTAAGAGAATTTGACAGGCAAACTTAGGGATGGCCAAATATGAGCATCAAAAGGGACAGGCGGTACAGCTGTCCAAAGTTTCTAGAATCCAGAAGAAAGGATGGAGTTTAAAGGGATAGTCATAAGAGACCAAGATAGTGTTTAAAAAAGACCACCAAAAAAGACATGGAAACCGGAATATTAGCCAAGGTATCCCCGTCCCTACTGGGACCCTCCTGTGCCCCCCCACTGGAGTCCATATACTCTGTCATCCCTGTTAAGGTCCACTGGATTGTCAATGCCCCCAGCTGTTCCCCAGTGCAAGTCCATCCACTGAGTATAGTTAGCCTGTCTAGAGTCCCTTGTTTTAGGAAAATCAGCTCTTCTTCATCTAGTAGCAAACAGTTGCCAAAATTCCTTCAGATAAGATTGAAGTCTGCTGTTCATTTTCCCAGTTCTATGCTGGGTTATTGTCTGCCTGAGTTTGCATGGGACTTGTATATGCTGACACCATTGCATAGAATTATATGAGCTTCTATTTTCTCTATCATAATCTTTTATATTATTAATACAATCAGTATAGAAACAGTGAAGTAAATTTTTTTCAACATGTATTCTATTGAAAAAAAGCCAACCAATGAAATCATTTTCAATGATGATAGCATGACAGGCTAACAGTTTCTTTCCATAACAGTGAAGCATGAAACTGGACAAAATAGTCAATAAGCATCTTTTTTCTCCTCTGAGAATTTATCAAAGGCAATCAAGCAACTGAAAAAAAAATAATCTTAAGAAACTGCTAGAATTTGGAAATAACTAGAACAGAATTCAGTGGCCTTCTTTCCTGGCACTGCCCAGTACAGTAGGAACTTCCTTTCTTCAAGATAGAGCTGGCTGAATATGTAGCCTTGTTGGCTAAAAATGGCCAACTTGATAGAAAACAAACAAGGAAAACCCAGTCATAAATTTCAAAGGGAAATTCTGAAGCAAAAAAAGGGCACAGAAAGCTAAATAAACACTCCACATAACCCTGGCTGAGTAAGATTTGAGGTATATATGCAGGGAAGGCCACAGAAAGATGTCTGATATCTTCCTCTGGCTTCCTCATACACATGCATAGGAACACATAACCATAGACACATGTGCACAAATCACACAAATTGTAAAGCACCTCTTGATCTATTATAAATACATGATAATTGTTACCTGCTGTCATCATCATCATCATCATCAATAACAGTAACAACATTTCCCTAAGGGAGGATATTGTGGCTAGCTGAAGATAGGTAGAAATTTTTTAAGGAAACTCTCCTACCTACAGGAAAAGTTCCTACAGCAGATGGAAAGAAAACAAATGATAGCTACTACTGGATGAAAACAATGCAGCCATCAATTCTCTGATGTGTATTACCTCAATGAACATCTAGTTGCTTCTCAATTACAAAAATTCTTTTACATGTCTAATCATACTTATTTATAAGGTATTTATTCTTTTTTAAAATCTTCAAATATTTCCACTTGAGTGTGAAAATGTAGAGAAAATTTCTCTCTATTTTTTTATTTATAACTAAAGCTAGAAACAACTTTAATGTCTGCATCCTAGTAAGCATTCTTCCAACATGCGTTAATGCTAAGACTGGGAGAACTGTGATAGATAGAAGGTCTGCATCACATAGTATTAGAAAAAAAAAGAGTTGGCAAACCATGGCCAACATGTGTTAATGCTAAGATTTGGAGAACTGTGATAGATAGAAGGTCTGCATCACATAGTATTAGAAAAAAAAAGAGTTGGCAAACCATGGCCAACATGTGTTAATGCTAAGATTTGGAGAACTGTGATAGATAGAAGGTCTGCATCACATAGTATTAGAAAAAAAAAAGAGTTGGCAAACCATGGCACAGATTTTGAAAAACAAAATAACTGGCAAGCTGGCTACTCTGGCTTGAGGGGGATTACAAATTTTAATCTAAAGAGATTCCACTTCCCACCAACGTATTTATCATTTTACTTTTTAAAATTACTCACTCTGTTTTTGGAACAGCTTTTCTTAGCCAGAAGAAATCAGATTGTGCTAAATACTTGCGGGTTTGCAGAACATTGCCAAAGTAATCCGATTCCGAAAATTTGATCTGCATAAAACAAACCACAGCATCATTGTTCTAAATGAAGATAAGAGATAGCTTTACAAATAGATTTAAGTCCATGAAGAAGGACCCAGAAGAGAAGCTGTGACCCTCACATTTCTCAGACATTACTGGTTAACCCAAAATTCACAAAGCCATGAAATTTAATCTCAGTGATTTTTCTTTTAACATAAAAAACTAAAAAATCTGGCTGAAGAGATGGCTCAGAGGTTAAGAGAACCAGCTGCTCTTACAGAGGACCTGGGTTTGATTCCAAGCACCCACATGGCAGCTAACAACCGTCTGAAACTCCAGTTCCAGAGGATCTGACACCCTCTTCTGACTTCTGTGGGCATTGCAGAGTATGGGAGCACTTATATACATGCAGGCAATACATTCATACACATAAAATAAAAAATGATAACAAATACAAATATTTTTCTTAAAAGCTAAAAGGTAAATATGATCATTTCTGGATCACAGGGGGGAAAAACAAGAGAAGTGGCAGTTATTTACAATGTGTTCCATTTACTTTTATAATTGAAAAATCTACTTTAAACTTTACAGAACATATAATCTTAGGTTTGAAATTTCTTGGCTCACAAGTTCTTGATCTCTTCTAAAATGTGTACTTTATTTATTTGTCAGATAAGAATCTTCTAATAGCATTCAGTGTAGCCAGCTGGAACCTCATTTAGCTTATAGATGATGATTTAGTCAAATGTTAAAATCCAATTTACTGTAATTGGCATTTGTTCATAAAGGGAAAAAATGAAAGTAATTCACAGACCTATTTTCTATCCTAAGTACAATGGAATCACCAGAATAATTTAATTATTGACAGAATTTATCTATTAACACTAAAAAGGCTCCGACGGCCAAAAATGAAAATAGGCAAATCACAGATGATAGGTTGCATGGGAATGCAGGAAATAGAGGGCACAAGACAACGTTGTCTACCAAGCAATGGAACAGGCATAATTGATTATTTTGTTCCTTTTCTTTTTCCTGGAGCATGGCAAACAATTTCAATTCTATCATATCCCTAGCAATATTTCATCTAGATATTATAGCGATATATGTAGTATATGTGTAGTATATATAGTATAGTGATACCTGTTTATAACAGTAAAAGCCATAGTTTGTAGAGATCTCTAATGCTTTAAAAAAAAAAACTATTACTATAGCAAAAATAAGTTAAAAGGTAAACAGATATGTAACTGTCACCAATAAGAAAAACACATTTTCATAAGTGAACAACTCAGAGTCCATTTTTTAACTGCTAACTTTTTATTAGGGTAAAATAATTACATAAAAGACTAGAATTCACTGATATTTTCCTACATGTATCTGAGGTACTTTAATCATATTTATCCATCCTATTATCTGCATTTATTCCCCTCCCTTCCCACTGGTCCCGTCTATTCCTCGGTAGTTCCCCTTCTTCTTCCATTGTTTTCTTTCCACATGTAAGAGAAAGCACGTGATAGTTATCTTTCCAAATCTGGATTATTTTCTTTAACATGATGATTTCTAGATTCCGTACTTAATACATTCCCCTTTTAAACAACTACTATGCAGCACTAAGAAAGCTACACCAAGGCTGCCTTTCAGAAAGAGAACAGTTTCATACATGAATACACTGTATCCTGGTCATACCCATCCACTATTCCCTCCCTCTGTCACCCCCAAACCCTCCCACCATATCTCCCATCTCCAGCCCACCTTCATTTTTTTTTTAATTTTTAAAAATGATTTATTTAATAACAACATACTTAGAAGAAGCATATCATTACAACACAATTGACATATTCAATAACGTTTTCCTGAGGTATATTATTTATTTCTACAAGTGTTTTGATGGCCTGTAAGTTTACTGGTTTGTGAGTAATGCCTTCGCAGACCATAAATGGATGACACATTCCCCGTGTGGGTGCTGGGACTTGAACCCAGGTCCTGAGGAAGAACAGCAAGTGAAATTAACCCTGGGGCACCTCTCCAGCCCCAGGAGTTTCATTTTTCATTGGACAGAATGCTAACTAAGCAGCAGCCACACAATACCCATTCTTTGATGTGACTGAGAAGAAAACATTATATGTTACTGAATTCCAGAGAATTTCTTAACTGGATTTAAATATCCAAAAGTAAATTCTTATTAACAACTTTTTTGATAACTTTAAGTCATAGTCATTATTAATTATTTAAAATTTTGTGTGCATGTGTCTATGCCTAAGTGTATGCATATGCACCACGTGCATGCAGGTACCCGCACAAGTCAGAAGAGAGCTTTGGATCCCTGGAACTGGAGTCACAAGAGGTTGACTGGGAATGTGGGCGCTGGGAACGGAGCCTGGGTCCTCTGCAAGAGAAGTAAATGTTCTTAACCCCTGAGCCATCTGTCTGGCCCAAACTACAGCTTTTTTGAAAGTAAAAAAAAAAATTAAAATATAATCAGTGGATGCATATGAAACCCACAGGCATTGCATTATAAATATGAATGTATGTATTTAATTTGGTTGTTAGAGACGTAGCAGGTAACCTGTTTGTTGGCTAATGTTTAGGTCACATTTAGCTGCTCTCTAACATAAAGTGGGCATTCATTGTGAGGCAGGAGAAATTCTTTGTTAATGAGTCGTCTTAACAATCTTCCCAGGGGGCAAAGCCAGAATATTAACGCAGCCATAAAACAATTGATGGCACATTGAGAAAGACAGGAATGAAAATATGGATTCCTGGTATCCTTGGTGTTCCACTTAGCCAAAAAAATTACAATGATATACTTTAAACTGCCCCTTCCTCAAAGTACTTAGGCAAAGAAGACAGAACTGATAAATAAACCATGGCATATTCACATAGTAGAAAGCAATACAGCAGTCTAATGAATGTTCTGTATGCGCAAACATGAAGTAATTTCAAAAGCAAGGTGAATAAAGCAAGTTGTATGTATGAGAGAATTTAAAGTTTTAAAATACACAAAAATATCACTTCTCAGCCTTTTGGATAAGATCAATTATAAACTATGTAAAGTAATACTACATATTATTTATGGAGCAAAAGCACGTAGAAGTTAATAAGAATAAGACTAAATTCAAGAAAATGTTTATATATAGGAGCTATACATGAAGAAAGGAAATTAAATGTAAAACATTAAACACTGAATTTAAAATGTACCTATTTTATTCATTTTAAATATACGTGTATGCCAGGCATACACATATGCATACCTGTCATTCCAGGCATTTGGGAGACTGAGGCAGGAGGACCACTAGAGCCTATGACTTTGATGCCAGCCAAGACAACGTAATGGCAGCAACCTCCACCTCTCCGAAATCATAACAATAAAATATGTTGATGTGTGTATAAAGTCGTTGCTTTGAGAATATTTGTTAAAGATAACTGCTCAAAATATTATACACACTGTTCTAATGTTAGAAATGTTTCATAATAATTTTTATATAATTCATTGTATTTTCAGATTAAAAACGCTCTCTTACTCTAAAAAAAAAAAAAAAAAA